ATATATATATATATATATATCAATATATATTTCGTCAATAAACAAAAAAGAAAAGAAAATTTTACAATGCACTTGTAAAATAAAAATAAAATATATTTTTTAAATTCTGACAGGAGCAAGCAGAAGACAATGCATCTTATCATCTTGCCCCTTTGATAGTAAAATAGTTAACTTTATTTACATGATTAAGTTCGTAAAATCTATAATTTTAAAATTAGTTTATTATAAAATTACATATTTTTGAGTTAAACATACATATTCGTATTAGTAAATACATAAAAATACGACTTAAAATATATATATATATATTCCTTTTTTTTTCTTTTTCTGTTTTAATATAACATAAAAATTTTACAACTTCGTACTTCATAAAAAAAAAGTACTCTCGAATGACGAATACAACGGGGGGTGGGAATAAACGGGTGGGTGGGAATTTCAGTCAAAATCTAATAAACGGGTTTTTTAAAATAAACTATAGGTGGGGGGGGGGGGGGGGTTGACCGCAATTCAAATGCGCATTTGTTCAAGTCAAATGCGCATTTGAATTGCGGTCAAAAGCGCATTTTCTAACAGCTGTTAGGGTAGGGTTAGGCTGTTTCATCATAATTTCAGTAGGATTTAATATGCTGATATAAGTTTTATACTTTGCAATCCTATAATTAAAACCAAAGCTTTGTTGAGAAATAAACTAAAAGTTCAATTTTTAAGACCGATTTTCACAAAAAAATTTTTTTTACTTATCAGATATATAATTTTTTTGTTGATAACAATAAACGGGGGAGGGGGAGAGGGTCTTAATAAGCTTAGGGTGGGTGGGAAAAGTAAACAAAAATTAATAAACGAGGTGGGTGGGTGGGTGGGTTTACGTAATAAAATTTCAATTAAATATCGTAATAAAATGCGTAATTCGCTAATAAGATTTATTAACGAATTACGCATTTTATACAAGCAACAAACAAAAGTAGATTAGTAACATTAACCAAAAACGTTTCTCAAGTTTTAAAAATTTCTTATTTTGTAATTAACTTGAATGAACATAACAAATTTACCCTACCTTTGAATCCTTTTTGAAAGGTATTCCATACTTTAGGACCTCGATATGAAACGCTATATTCTAAATATTTATTTATTATCTGAGACAGTTTATACATGTTCATTTACATTTAATTGAAACTTGTTATTAAGGTTTATAGGAGAGATATCGTAATTGTAATGATACATGAAACATTAAATAAAACATGACTTCATTTGACATTTTTTATGACATTTATTTCAAACACATTCATCACAATTCTATGAAAAAAATTACTTTTTCAAAAAAAAAAATCTTTATTTTTTTTGATTTTTTAAAATAATTTCAGATGTTGTACTTCATACTGATTTCTTATGTTTTATTGTGAGTTTTACTTTTAAATTATGCACAGTATTTAAATTATGATATATTTAAAGGTTATATATTTATTTTATAAGGTATATATAAATTGTACTGTGAAACTGTGTACGTGTACTGGAAATTTTTTGAGTAAGCTCAAAAAAAAAAAAATGCCCCTCCCCTTTTTTTTTTCTTTGATTTTTGTTTTGGTTAACCCAAATTAAGTTATAAAAATGTTTCAATAATTCTTTAAATGACTTATAACATCGCTAAAATGGTCACTAAAGCTGAATTAATGATTTTTACATATTAAGAAAAATATTTTTTATAAATACTCGACTAATATAATGTATAATATATACAGATTATAAATTGTTAAACAAGATTTTTGTTGTCTAGTATAATAAAACTAGGGATGTCCATTGATATATTTTAATGTATACTTTTTGTTACTAACTAATTTGATGATAATTATACAATAAAACTTAATTTTGACATACACCCTGAGTAAAAAAATTTTACTCAGGGTGTATGTCAATATTAGATAAAATTTAACAATTCATTACTTGTAATATTCAATTTTAAATAAAGATAATAATCATTATCACAAAAAATATTTTTTTAAAATTTACTTATTTTATCTATTGATATGATCTTATTTCATTCTTTATATTTCTAAAAACATATATTTGATTCTCAGTATACATAATGTTCTCGTAAGAATATTGAATTTGTACGTTAAATAAATGAAATTGTAACACGGTGCTCGTGAATGTCTTTCTCTTGACATTAAACAAAACATAAAGACCTTTTTATGTACGTGTGACATACCTTAATCCCACCCCCTTACCATTCAATGAATAATTTGAATGAATATATGAATATTTTAAATTTCAAATATTCCTTAAATCAAAAATCTATCAATCATAATGCATCAATCTATTTGTACGAAAAGTTTGAAAAAAAGGAAATTAATAGAAAAGATTTTGTCACATAGTTATTCAATTTTAGGCTTATTTAAGACCGTTATTCCGCCATTACAGATGCTCCAAAAACTGTTTGAAAAAAATTGTCAGAATATTTTTTTGAAAAAAATTTCTTATCAGAAAATTATTAGTTTTGTGTTACTTAGATTTTTTTAATCAAAATATTTTTTTGTAGTATACCAACTTAATAACGATATTTTAGTATTTCACCGACTTAATAAATATATTTTAGAAGTTCACTAACTTAATAAATATATTTTAGTAGTTCATTAACTTAACGTTATAAAAAATACAGAAAACAGAATTGACTCCTTTATAAACTGCACCATTTTTTATGTTTGTTTACCCATCGCAATGATATATTATACACATTAGATGTCTAACTTCGATCCGAAAAGTGAAACCGCTTCTGCCCTAATTATAAATGACTGCCACAACATTAACTATACAATATTTGCCCTTTTTACAAATAGCGGATTAAATTTGTATACATATATATACATATATATTTAATTAAAATATAAAGCATAAAACAACAGCTGCGTACAAACTAAATTTTTTCTTCGTAATATTTCAACCTGTTTTTGCACAGATCGTCTGATATATATATATATATATATATATATATATATATATATATATATATATATATATATATATATATATATATATACACTCACGTGCAACAAGATATGACATTAAAATATATATACACACATATAAATACTGACGATTATATCGCAAATTCATCGCATCCTAACCTTTATTTATATATTTTTGCTCTCGGAAATTAATGAAAATCTCTTAGATGGAATATTTTATAAATCTCATTCTTTATTTATCATAAAATATATTTCCAAATGTTAAAAAGCAACAATGATGTATATATTTTTCTTTTTTTTTTCTTGTTAAAAAAACGAAGTTCTAGAATTGAATATAAATGACGGCGACAGATTGAAAGGCAAATTCCGACAATCAGCTTGGTGAAACAGTTTGCGAAATCGATGATGCTTTTTCAAAATTTATTGCATATACGCAAACAAGTATCTTATTAGTGCATGTGATATCACTCAGAACTCTGAGAAAGTTCACTTCTCCATGTTTGGGATACAGAAAGTAAATATAGTGGCTATTCTAAATAAAATTACAAAAAAAAAAAAATTAACGGCGTTCTATTTTATTAGTAAATTTAAAGTGAAAACATCTTTTTACCTCTACCTTGAAAATTATACAAGTTGTTTAAATTAAATCAGAATGGGGCTATTCACATAGTATGCACAAAAGTAAATTGCTAAAAATAGATTCCCCATCACTTTGTGTATGCAGCCATATATATTAAGTCTTATTATTAGTCTTATTATTATTATTATTAGTCTTATTATTATTATTATTAGTCTTATTATTATTATTAGCCATATATATTAAGTCTTATTATGCAGCCATATATATTAAGTCTTATTAAACCCACCCCTACTTACCTTTTATAAATTTACCCTTGCAATAAAATAGAAATGTAATACATACATTTTGAAATAGCGTGATACTTTAGAACCTCGTAAATTAATGTTCAAAATTTATCAAAAACTATTTTAGGAGTTTTGTAAACAAATATGACTATTGGTAAATTTCTATATCACGTATCAGTGAGAAAGAAAAAAATGAAAAACTTTTTTTTAGAATTTCGAAAGTTTTTTTAGTTTTAAAAACCAACATGATTTTTAACGACGGCATGAAAAAGCCATTAACTACTTCAAAAAAAATGAAGAATATTTTGTTGTAACTAAATATGATTTTATGGAAGCCAAGTCAAGTCAAAAACAACAACGCAACAATATAAGCTATTGTAAGTAAAATATTTCTTCATCAAATTAGGATGATATAGATGATATGAATTCTGTTGATGACAACCATATCATTATCAAAGATGAAAAATAATAGTTTTGAACCAAGTAAATACGGCTTTGAAAGAAATTATCTTCAAAAAAAACATCGGACTAAAACATCTTACATAAGAAAACTTTTTTAACAATTTTTTATGAATTAAAAAAACAAAGGTCGTATTTCGATAATTCTTAGTGATAAGAAAAAAGTTGCTAAACAATTTAAAACACGGAGACTGTACTAGCCATATACTTAAACCACTTCACCTGTAGTTTGATGTATATTTAATCAATAAAGTCATTATCAAGATCGAATTATACAAAAAAAAAAAAAAAAAAAAAAAAAAAAAAAAATCTAAACTTTAAGTGGTGTGGAAGTTTCAAATAAAAAAACAAAGAATAATTCAATATCAAAACAAAGAATAATTTAATATCAAAAGCGCGAAAAATAGAAAGTTTTGAAAGATGATTTATAGAATTCATAAAAAAAACAACCTCGAAACAAGATTAGAATTATTTATTAATCTCCAAATTTCTACTGAAAAATAACTCATACCAAAACTATAAAACTAGCCAGTCTCTCTTAAAACAAAAGAAAATTTTAACAGAAAATGATTTTTTAGAATACAAAATTTAAACTAAATGATTTTTATGTACCTATCATTATAGAAAAATTGTTTTGAATAACCTAATATCTTCTTTGTTTTATTTTAAAAAAGAAAGTTCAAAATAACACAATTATTTAAAAAAGTTTGTGAACCGCTTGATAAACTTTGAAGAATTTGGAGTAAATACATTAATAATAGATTTTAAAAAGAATGTGCAATTTAAAAGTGTGGTCCATCCATAACGCACAATGTTAATTGTGAGTCACACCTTAACATCAAGTTTTTTGCTCAACTTAATTTGACATTTCTTTGTTTCAGTGTTTAACAAATTCAACCATGAAATGGTACATAATTGAGAAGCGCATTAAACCTTTTACAAAATGGACATTCAAATCAAAATGCATTTCGTGCGCTTTGTGATTGGTTTGGTCAGCATATTCGACCAAATGTGTCCACAATCGGGAGAATTGTGCGCAAATTTTAGCAAACCGGGTCTCTATAAAATAAGAAAATACTTGTGCATGCTCATCCAATTCGTTCTGCAGAGAACACTGATCTTGTTGCAATAGTGTGGCAGAAGAGCCGTCAAACTCTGCTTGTTGTTATGCATAACAATTGAACATCTCACGAACATCACTGATGCGAATTTTGAATAAAGATTTGAATATGCACACTTACAAAGTTCTTTTCAAGCGCTGTCAATACGCCAAATGGTTGGTCGAACAGACAGAAGTGAATGGTGACTTTACAAAGAAAATCATCTTTAGCGACAGGGCACACTTTCACCTCAGTGGATATGTTAACAAGCAAAACTGTCACATTTGGGCAAATAAGGATCCACTAGTGATTGTTGAAAACCGATATATCTACAAAGAGTGACTGTTTGGTGCGGTGTGTTTTATGGGCTGACAGCGTATATATTGTATAACTTGCATAAATTTGCAACTGGACCCTAAAAAAATCCAGTTACTTTATGGAACACATACAGCCATAAAAGCCTCAGTGAAAAACAAGATATAATTTTATTAGAGTGTTAGTTAAACAACTGTCAAAAAAGTTGGACAGGTGCCCAGTATAAAAGCAGGCAGTAAAGAGGAGTCACAAAAAATGTCTTCTAGTTACAAAATATCTTGTATAACGTATAAAGTGTAAACCATTTTAGGGGAGATTTTCATTTTATAAATACTGCAGCCGTTTTTCAAAACGCATTAAGATGCTTTTTACGTATTTCGAGAAAAACGCAATTAAAATAAAAATTATAAGAAAACTCTCTGTAAACCGTTTTTTGAAACTAAGAATTTTTATGAATATTTTCAGAACTCTTCGAAAATATGTATTCAGTAACGCTTGTAGACATCTAAACTAGCTTATTTTGTAAAAAAGTCTAAATTGATTTTTTTTACCTTAAGGTGTATAATTAGATATAAACGGCTACATCATAGTTTATATCTAATTATAGTTTATGTTGCTTAATTGAAAATATTTAATTATTAGTTTATTATTATTATTAGTTTATATTATATTTGTTTATATTATATTATTAAACTATATTAGTTTATATTAAATCTTAATGTATACCTTTTAAGGGAAGTATTCTTTTATACTTAATCTATATTTAATTATAGTTTATACCCTATAAGTGGAGCTATTCGTTTTATACTTATTATATATATATATATATATAGTATGATCTATGCCGTTTTAGTTTGTTTTCTAAAAATGTAAACCATTTTAGTAGAACTATTGTTTTATACTTAGTTAATATCTAAATATAATTTATACCCTTTAATTGGAAATATTTGTTTGTTACATAGTTGATATTTAGTTATAGCTTATACCGTTTAAGTGGAGCTACTTGCTTTTTACTTTGTTTATATTTGATTAAAATTGGGGAAATGTTCGTTTTATACTTAGTTAATATTTAATTATAAGTTAATCTCTTTGAACGTAAATATTCGTATTATACTAAGTATATATTTAATTATTATATAATACCGCATTATTGAAAAGATTAGTATTAAATCTATACTGCATTAGTGGAGTTATTTGTTTTATACATAGTTTACATGTAATTATAATATATACCTTTTAATCTGGAAATACTTGCTTAAACTAAGTTTATACTTAATCACAATTTATTCCGTTTAAGTGGACTTATTTGTTTATATCACATCTCATGTTCACAATTAACTAAACTTGATACCGTTTTAAACCTAGTTTAAGAGCAGTTATACCTCATTTTCGAATAAATTCGAAAATGAGGTCAGCTAAGCAGTTACCAGGAATGGTATTCGCTATCGCAAGATGATAAAGGACTTCTTGTAGCCAGATATTGAGGATATATACCTGGGCAATATGTGGTTCCAACACGATGGTTGCCAACAACAGATGTTTTGCCACTTGCCATACAGCCAACAAAACAATTGCTCTTATGTGAAAATAATTAAATGGCTATGTTACCTAACGTCATAGCAATTTTAATTGACTGCCACAATCATGTGATAAGACACCGTTGGACTTCTTTATTTGGAGATATTTAAAAAGAAAAAGTCAATAAACCAAAAACAATTCAAGAGCTAAAAGAAGAGATAATTCGACCCATTAATGAAATCGAACCTCAATTATGTCTCAGAGTCATTGAAAATATAGATTATCTGATAGAGGTATGTAACTGAAGCAATATGCAATATGCAAAATGCACTTGGGCAATACTTCAATTCACACATAATTGTCATAGTCCTTCTATAATAATAGAAAAATATTAAGATAATTCTCTGAAAACTTTTTATTTTATTTACAATAAACATTGTGTGTTTTGGTTGGACCACCCTTTATAACCATAAAATAATAAAAATGTTTATCATTCTAACCATTTAATAAAATTTGTTGAAAACATGTCATAAAGTGTACAAAACAAGGTCAAAAAGTTTGCAAGAAAATAACATTCAAAAGTTATTCGTTACTTTTAAATATTAACTTTTGTGAACGAAAGTAAAAGTTTGATTGCTAGAAAGACATGTTTTTAAATTAAGTTTTTATCAAATTTATCACTAACTATTAGGAAAGAGTTTTTAGAACAAATATTATAATAACATAATCATTCAAAAACTCAACCAATACTTAATGTAAGATAATTACATGCTAAGACTTGTACTTGAAGTATTTGTCACTTGAAGTATTCATTTCATTGTTATATGGATGTTATGGATGTGATGAATACTTGAAGTATTCATTTCATTGTTATATGGATGTTATGGATGTGATGAATACTTGAAGTATTCATTTCATTGTTATATGGATGTTATGGATGTGATGAATACTTGAAGTATTCATTTCATTGTTATATGGATGTTATGGATGTGATGAATACTTGAAGTATTCATTTCATTGTTATATGGATGTTATAGATGTGATGAATACTTGAAGTATTCATTTGTCACTTAAATAATTAGATACAATAAAAGAACATTATTTTGACATGTGGGTAATATTAACATGTGTTAGGTGTTTTTAGTCGTCACTCGTTGACTAATGTTTAAATTGATGCTACAGCCAGATGCTTAATGATCAAATATAATTATGTTCCACATAATAGTAAGTATAAATAACAATACAATACGGCGGGAATAAATTTAACTATTTCCTAGTTTTTTTGTTGCTGAAAAACTTTAGTTAAAAATACAACAATATATACTATAAAATTAATTTTACATTTACTTTCATGTTGTTTCTAAGCACTAACCATTTAAAATTAATTTTGTAATATTAAAAAAAAAAAACATATTTCAGTTTAGAGTAAAATTAACAGGAATGGGTCAAGAATCTATCAAAAACATCCTATCATAGCAGGGTGTTAGCCAGGGATGGCACCTGAGTTATAGCAGGGTGTTAGCCAGGGATGGCACCTAAGTTATGCCTTAAAAAGTTATTTTTTAAAACAAATAAAAAGATGAGAGTATAAAATAAGGAATTTAACAAACAGTTCAAAATGAATATATTAAAAATATATAAGTATTAATTTTATCTGATAATAAAAATATAACTTTCCTTAAATTTCTTTTTAAAATAAAAACAACTTTTATATTATTTACTTATTAGAAAATTAGACATGAAGTATAGCTGATAAACTAAATGTTTATTTATAAGAAATTATAAATTATATACTAAGAAATTTTCAAAAACTTAAATGCAACTAATATAAAAATGTGGTGGAAAAACCTATTAAAAAAAAAATACAAAGATTTACGTACAGGTAATACTTGTATCATGCTTTCGTTGTTCAACAAAACATCTTTAACACCATTATTTTGAGCATTGAATAGTGGAGTTACAGAACCGCATCGTTCAAAAAGTGTGGGCAAAGCCAGCAAAACAACTTGAACATCTGATATACATTTACATATATGTATATATATATATATATATATATATATATATATATATATATATATATATATATATATATATATATATATATATATATATATATATATATACATACATATATAGAATATATTTATGCATTTATAACAAATATATATATATATATATATATATATATATACATACATATATAGAATATATTTATGCATTTATAACAAATATATATATATATATATATATATATATATATATATATATATATATATATATATATATATATATATATATATATATACACACATAACTTATGTGAATATGCATATATACTTGGGCATAGACAATTAAAGATTATTAATCCCTACATTTTTGTATGATTGATCCCAAAGTTTAAACAATTTTTAAGAAACTTTGCTATTATGGTATATCATTTACCACATAGAAATCATTACGAATTTGATCTAATTACAATAAATAAAAAATTATTTCATTTAAAAATATCATGGTTTTTGATCTTTAAATTTTAGAAACTTTTAAAGATTTTTAGAAACTCATTTTTATTTACACTTCTTGTTTCTTTGTTTGGAGATTATTTCAAATTGTTTTTTTTTAATTTTCTATTCAAATAAATCAAATTTTGATTTATTTGATTAATTCTGACTGCAGTGTATTAGGTAATTGAAATTAGGAAATGGATGAAGGTTATCATGCTGATATTAGCAACAAGTGCTAATAATAAGAGGACATTTAGCACATTTTAGTAAATCAAAACTTAGTGAAGAAGCACAATAAACCAAGCAAGGCTGAACGAATGCATATTAGTAGTTATACTTCAAATAACTGAGGAACTAAAACATCCTAGATGTTAGACTTGGTATGCGATGATGTAGCCAATGACTTTGGTATCTGAAATGAACACAGAACAAAATAAATTTGTACAGGTGTGTATGAGTTGTACAGTGAAGTTCATTTTGCTTTATACATCTGTGAATAAAGCACCTTCAGTCTCTGTATTAATGGTTAATAATTTGACAACTTATATTGTAGAAGTTTTTAACAATCTTTGAACTCGTGACCATTCTAACTGTTATTCATTTTGGCAAAGAGGTATGGCTCTTTTTTGAAGGAGATAAAAGTAGGAAGTATATAAAATTCTATTTTTAAGTTGTCAATTCTAAATTATCTGGATCTGTGTATAATGTTCATTTAAATTGTATATATCAGGGTTCTGGTTGCAATGAGAATATTACCTTTATTCTTGGGCATTATGCCGACAACATTTAAAGAATTCAGTCGTCAGATTTTAATTAAAAGGCAAAAAAATTAAGTTGTTCTTAGCTGAAGATTTTCATTTCATTGATGATGTTCTGGGACACTATGGTTCTGCAAACCTAGTCAAGTTGAAATCTCTAAAAAGCCATGCCTCTATGCCTCACAAACCTGCTTATTGTAATGTCCTAAGGAGAATAATACAATCTCTGATAGACAACATGGTGGAAATTTAAGAAGTTTCATCATAAAAATTTTAGAACATGTCGTGCCTCCTGTTTTGCATCTTATGCTAGGAATAATGTTAAAACTCTATAAATCATTGTTGAAGTAATGTAAGACTTTATCTTTTCAGGCTGATTTATCTTTATCTAATTGTGAATATGCGAGAACAAGTTGAATGTGAGTTGCTAAAAGCGTTAAATACTCTAATGCAGCAGAAGCCTTGCACTGATTAGGTAAGCAATTTGTAGACATTGCAAGACAGGCACGATACCACTAAAACTTTAAAATATCTCTAATATTTTAAGGTTTTAGTGGTACCCACTTTTTAAAACTTTTCAGAAAAAAAAAATTAGGCCGTATGTCCGCCTCGAAACACCTGTGCTGTCTGATGCTAGGCATTATTCCCAGTTTACTAAACTTTTTATCTTATCTCAGAAGTTGGGCTCTAGAGACTTTTAGCATCATTAACAAAGGCAAACATTCCATCTTTAATACTTGGGTCTGATCTTTAAAGAACCTTTCTTCTAATTCGACTCTTGATTTTAATGGCTATGAATCTTGAATCTAACAGCACGGATGTTTCAAGGTGGACATACAACTTCTTTAAGTTAACCCATTGTTAGACATCCAAATAACTCTAGCTTCCATTGCTAAAGTCATTTCTCAATTAAACTCTTCTACGGTTTGTGGTTCAGACAACATTCTTGGCACAGTCTTAAAAAAAAAAAAGTTCTCCAGAACTTCCATTCTCTTTAAACTATTTAATAAAGGCTTGACTTAATTTTTTTTTTTTGCCAGCATGAAAAAGGGATCTGTGGTTCAAGTTTTTAAAAACTCGATAGAACATTTTGACCCTTTCAACTATCATCCAATAAGTCTTCTCTTTATTATTAGCATTGAGTCTTGATCAACAAATTTCTGCCATCTTAAATAACTCTCTGTCAATCAATATGAATTTCGGTTGACTTTCTAACTGCTGTAACTATTACAGCAGTTAGCAAGTCAGTTTACATATTACATTATTAACTATTAATATTGTAATATGCAAAATTATATTGTGTATTACATAGTGGCAGCAAAGCAAGGGTTACTGCTCTTGACATGTCTAAAGTTTTTTGAAAAGTTTGGCATGTTGGTCTTCTCCATAAGATTGCATCATATGTGCATTACCTGGCAAAAATTTTTGAGATTGTTAAATTATTTCTTCTAACCGCATTATTAAGGTCATCTTTGAAGGCCAACACTATTCATCATTTCCAGTATCTTCTAGAGTACTTCAAGATTCTATCCATGGTCCAGTATTGTGTTTCCTAACAGTCTTACTTATATATATATATATCATATATGTATATAATATATATATATATATATATATATATATATATATATATATATATACTTACATATATATATCATATATGTATATAATATATATATATATATATATAAATATATATATATGAAAATATATATATATATACATATAAACATATATACATATATATATTTATATATATATATATATATATATATACATATATATATATATATACATATATATACATATATAATATATATATATATATATATATATATATATATATATATATATATATATATATATATATATATATATATATATATATATATATGAAAATATATATATATACATATAAATAGATATATATATATATACATATATATATACATATATATATATATACATATAACTAGAGATGGTGTCTCGATAAAAATACTCATCTTGGGCAGATGTTACATGCATCCAGCTGCTGTCTTGTAGAAGGCCTCCTAGGCAAAGACTTAAGGGGTAAACAGATTCTATCTGTTGACCAGCCTCGCACCCCTTCCTCATCTATTAGGCTAGCGCAGATGCATTTTTAATACATTGTTTCCAGTTTAGGATGTTGAACGCTGGATCTTCTTGACTCAATGCGTGGGTATTGCTTGTGTCTCTATTTTTATGACTGGGCAACTCATTCTATTATCTCCTAATGAGGGTACAGCTCTAAAACTCAGTTTTATGGTTCTGAGGCCGGCTGGTAGTCAGGTTTCCCGAACTCTGTGGTAGCTCTCAGAGAGGCTGATTCCATCAACAGCCGAAAAATATCAGAGTACTAACAGTGCCATGTTGCGCATGGATGGTGTCCCTGTTTGTACTTTTGGTGTGCATTGCAGAGGCCACATTTGGAGCCCTTTGTTACGGCTTAGGGTTTATTAATAGTAATGAGGCTATTGCTTAGTTGTTAAATAGTGTACTGAGTACTATCTATACTTGAGTCAAGTTCTTTATAAATTTAAAATGACTAAAGTACCTAAAACTAAAAAACACAAAAAACCATCGTCATCACCAAGTTCTCTAAACCTATCATTTACTAATATTCGTGGTCTTCGAAGTAACTTTTCTTCTGTTGAGTCTTATCTCTTGCAAAGTTCACCAGACCTACTTGCTCTTTGTGAGACTAATTTGAGTTCGGCTGTCCCATCTTGTGATCTTAGTGTTGATGGTTATCTTCCTTTAATTCGTAAAGACTCCAATAATCACATGCTTGGCCTGGGCATCTACATTCGTAAGAACTCACCCATTTGTTGTGAAACTAGGTTTGAATCTACAGACTATTCATTTATGTGCTTTCGTTTAGCACAACTTCACTCTATCGCCTTTCTCTTTGTTCTATATCGCTCTCCTTCATCCCAAGATTGCACTATTCTTGATGTTATTTCTGATCAAATTGACCAAGCCCTCTCTCTTTATCCATCGGCCAATATCGTCGTTGTTGGTGACTTTAATGCCCATCACACCGATTGGCTTGGCTCTAGTGTCAGTGACTCTGCTGGCGTTAAGGCCCTCAACTTTTGCCTTTCTCAATCTCTAACTCAAATAGTCAACTTTCCAACTCGTTTTCCAGACAACCCTAATCATTTACCTTCTCTACTCGACTTATGTCTTGTTTTGGATCCTAGTCAGTGCTCAATTTTTCCACATTCACCCTTAGGTACTTCTGATCACGGTTTGATCTCTCTAAAACTATTATCAAATTCTTCTACTTCATCAGAATCCCCCTATCATCGTACCACATACAACTACCTAAAAGCTGACTGGGACTCTTTCCGTGATTTTCTTCGTGATGGCCCTTGGGTAGAAATCTTTCGTCTTCCTGCTGACAAATGTGCTTCTTACATAACTTCGTGGATTCAGGCTGGCATGGAATCTTTTATTCCCTCTCGACGATTCCAGGTCAAGCCTCACTCTTCTCCTTGGTTTTCCTCACATTGCGCTGCAGCAATTTCTAATCGAAACCGTTACTTCCATATCTATCAGCAAAACAATTCTCCAGAAAACAGACATCTGATCACTATCGCCAGAAACCATTGTAAAAAGGTTTTGTCTGACGCCAAAGCTCGCTATTCCCAGGTCATTAAATCTCGTATCTCATCACAAAAATTAGGCTCTCGAGACTTCTGGAGAATCTTTAACAGTATCAATAATAAGGGCAAATCTGTTCTTCCTTCTCTCTTGTATGGTTCAGACTTTGTCACCTCACCTAAAGACAAAGCTGAATTGTTTGCTAAGAACTTTTCATCAATATCATCTCTTGATTCCACTAGTTGCGTTTTACCTGACATAGCCGTCAAACAGGTTGATCCCTTGCTTGACATTCGCATCACTTCAGCTTCTGTATCTAAAGTAATTTCCTGCTTAGACTCTTCAACAGCTTGTGGTCCTGACAACATTCCTGTTGTAGTCTTGCAGAGGTGTTCTCCGGAGCTTTCATCCATACTTTCTAAACTATTTAACAAGTGCTTATCAGAGTCTTGTTTTCCATCATGCTGGAAAGCAGCATCTGTTATCCCTATTTTCAAAAATTCCGGAGAGCGATCTGATTCATCTAACTACCGTCCCATTAGTCTTCTTCCTGTCATAAGCAAGGTTTTTGAATCTTTAATCAACAAACACTTAATTTCTCATCTTGAATCAAATAACTTGCTTTCTGATCATCAATATGGATTTCGGTCTTCTCGTTCTACAGCTGATGTGCTAACAGTAATAACCGATAGGTTTTACCGTGCATTAGATAGAGGTGGAGAGGTTAAGGCTATCGCTCTTGACATTTCTAAAGCTTTTGATAAAGTTTGGCATGCTGGTCTTCTCCATAAGCTTTCTTCTTATGGTGTAGCTGGTAACGTCTTTGAGATTATTGAGTCCTTTCTTTCCAATCGTAGTATAAAAGTTGTCCTCGATGGACAACACTCTTCTTCACATCCTGTAACTTCAGGGGTTCCTCAAGGTTCAATCCTTGACCCTATACTCTTTTTAATTTACATTAACGATCTTCCAGATATTCTCACATCTAAGGTGGCATTATTCGCTGACGACACTACCATTTACTCTTGTCATGATAAGAAGCCTACACTCTCTGATTGCTTGGAGGGGGTATCTGAGCTTGAAAAGGATCTCACTTCTGCTACAGCATGGGGCTCACAGTGGCTGGTGAACTTTAATTCAGATAAAACTCAATTTTATTCGGCCAATCGTTATCGTAATAATTTAGATCTTCCTATATTTATGAATGGTAATGTACTAGATGAGTCATCTACCATTCATCTTCTAGGATTAACTCTTACTTTTGATCTTTCTTTTAAACCGTATATCAAATCCATTGCAAAATTAGCATCTGCTAAGGTTGCATCTCTTTATCGAGCTCGACACTTTCTTACTCCAGATTCTATTCTCTATCTCTATAAATCTCAAATCCGTCCCTGTATGGAATACTGTTGCCACATCTGGGGCGGATCTTCTAATGATGTTCTTTCTCTTTTAGACAAGGTGCAAAAACGAATTGTAAACATAGTTGGACCTGCTCTGGCAGCCAATCTCCAACCTTTGTCACATCGTCGTAATGTTGCTTCTCTTTCTCTTTTCTACAAATACTATAATGGGCACTGCTCTAAAGAGCTAGCGTCCCTTGTGCCATCTACTAAAATTCATTCTCGTGTTACTCGCCATTCAATTAAGTCTCATCCTTTTTCTGTGACTGTTCCTAAGTGCTTCAAAAACTCTTATTCTTTTAGTTTTTTTCCTCGAACATCAGTTCTTTGGAATTCGCTTCCTTCATCTTGCTTTCCTGATTCATATAATTTGCAATCTTTTAAGTCATCAGTCAATCGTTATCTTGCTCTAGAGATTTAGTCTTTTCTCTTCCAGTAACTTCCAACTCTTATAGTGGTTGCTTGCTTATATATGAATATATATATATATATATATATATATATATATATATATATATATATATATATATATATATATATATATATATATATATATATATATATATATATATATATATATATATATATATATATGATCGTAATAGCCCAAATTTTGTGATAAGTCTAATAAATATAACAATTTTTTTCAGTTTCAACAATATGTTTCAATTATACAATAATCATTATCAAGTATAAAACTGTTAAATACAAAAACTATTTATAGTGAAAATAAACATTAATTTTATTCGTTAGTCAAACAAAAGAAAACCTATGTCATATAATAATGGAAAATGTAGATAATTAGTGTAATACATATGTCATAGAGTAATAGAAAAGGTTGATTAGAGCTGGAGTGATAGCAGGTAATTAAAAACCTGTTTATTTAGATCAGGTTTATTAAGATCAGGCATAACGCTTCTTGGATTTTTAAGTGATGTAAAGTTTGGGCACAGTCTAATACTGAAAAAAGAGTCTTTATTGGCTAAATTAAAGCAACTAATTTTTGAATAAATATGTTGATTTAAAAGTTTTTTGTAATTTTAAATGCTCCTCAATTCTTTTACTCTAATGTCGAGTGGTTTGACCCACTAACAAGCATTACAGCTTTTACACACAAATTTACGTATGACATTTGAGCAGAGATGTTGAGTTTTATCTTTTGTTAAAAAATATGGATCAATTTTATGAGACGAGAATGCTATTTTAATATTAAGAGTTTTTCAATGTTTTTTGCATAATTTATTGTTTTGACATTTTACCAATATCCAACATTTTAAAGTAATTTAACTTTGAGGAATCAACAATTTCTTTAATTTCTTTTTTATATAGTCTGTTTGGGTAGGTTTTTAAAACGCAATCAATTAGTCTAGTCAGGTAAAGGTTTTTTTCGATTATACAATAATCATTTTCAAATATAAAACTATTTAATACATAGTGAAAATAAACATTAATTTTATTTGTTAGTCAAACAGAAGAAAACATGAAAGGTGTGAAAACCTAACCAAAGCTCATGTTAATTTTTTATTACATTGTCAAAAAATTCAACATATATTCAAACCCTTGTTTTATTGCAGGTATTTTGATGATATTTTCCTTTTATTTGAAAATGAGACCGATTCTTTTAAATTATATCAAATTATATACATACATATATATATAACCCTCAGAATTAGGGTCGGCATTCGGCAATGCCGACCTAACTGCCGACCTAAACGTGTTTGCGGTCTGCAAAAAAAATTCGGTTTTGCCGACTTCCTTTCTATGTTTTATGGTAAGACCATTTCATTTGCCAACCTCTAAAAGATTGAGGTCGGCAAATTATTGCCAACCTCAATTTTCCTAATTCCAAGGGTTATATATATATATATATATATATATATATATATATATATATATATATATATATATATATATATATATATATATATATATATATATATATATATATATATATATATATATATATATATATATATTAAGGTGGCACTTAAAACAACTTTTTTGAGAAAAACCTGCTCCCACTCCCTAAATATGTTCTATCTAATACAAAAACACAAGGTTTACAAATTTTTTGAATAAAAAATATTTTAAGGGGACCCTCAAGACCATCGAATATTTAATGGGTCCCTAATATTTTCAAAAAAAAGATTTTTCAAAAACATGTCAACCTGGTACTCAAATGAAGCGAAATTATATTAAAACTTCAAAAATAATATTTATTTTGAAAAAAATTGTTATTTTTGGATTTATTTTACTTGAAAATTACGTTTTTTATTTGGACTTGAAAATTACGTTTTTTAACAAAATAAAAAAAAATGCATTTTTTATGTTTTTTTATAAAAACTTCGATTAGTTATAATTTTTTCAAAATGAATATAATTCTTGAAATTTTTATATAATTTCGCTTCATTTGAGTACCAGGTTGACATATTTTTGAAAAACTTTTTTTTTAAAATATTTGGGACCCATTCGAGGGTCTTGAGGGTCCCCTTTTTTTGAAAATATTTGGGACCATTCGAGGGTCTTGAGGGTCCCCTTAAAATATTTTTTATTCAAAAAAATTTTAAACCTAGTGTTTTTGCATTAGATAGAACACATTTAGGGGGTGGGAGCAGGTTTTTCTCAAAAAAGTTGTTTTAAGGGCCACCCATATATATATATATATATATATATATATATATATATATATATATATATATATATATATATATATATATATATATATATATATAATTCTTTGATAAAAAAAAGTTTATATATTCTTACGCCTATCTTTCACATAAACATCACACTCAAAGAAAAAGTCATGTTCCCCTGTTTCATCGGGAGAAATGCATCGACAACCCATCAGTTGATGATCTATCTGAATTGGTAGTTTATCAAACTTTATGATGTCCATAAAAACCTTTTCAGTAACGTATTTTAATCTGTTAATACAAATACATAAAAATATCAAATATTAAATGTACCTTTTGAACAAGCTCATTTAAAAATTATAATAGTATTTACATACTCACTTTTCTGAATGTATTTGTAAGGTGAATTGAAGAGAGGATCGAAGATGTTTCGGAACAGCCATTTTTTCTAGATAGGTTGCAGCTGGCTTAACATCTGCACCACTATTCAATAAAACATGAACAATTTCAATATGTCCCATCTTACATGCCTAAAATAATTAAATTCAAGTTTTTTTGCAATTTAAAAAAAAAAAAATCAAAAGAAAATCAAATGAAATTATTCACAAAAATATGTTAGTTTTCTTAAAAAAAAAACATTTAATACATTTTGGTGTGTTGAATGTTTTGATCACAAACATTTTGATGTAATGAGTGTTCACAAACATGCAATACATCTAATGTATACAAATGTATTAATTGCTTTGGAATACTTTTTGCTTAAATTGATAATAAAAAAACATCTCTCTAAAAAAACTAAATATAATTTTTTCACTATCAAATTACTTGCTTTCAACAAAACTTTAATTAATGTAAAAGAGATTTTTATAATAGAAATTAACCTCTAAACTACAGGTAGTTTCCAAACCTCTAAAGGTACTACAAACCTCTAAACTACAGGTAGTCTATTAAATATTTCTATTAAAAAAATTCACAGGCATTTATTATAAATTACTTCTTATGCTTGTATCTTATGTTTGCACCATTTGTTTGTATTTTATGTTTATCTCTTATGTTTGTATCTTATGTTATTATCATATGTTTATATAATGTGTTTGTATCTAATGTTTTTATCTAATGTTTGTACCTTATGTTTTGTATTTTATGTTTGTCTCTTATATTTTTATCTTATGTTTGTCTCTTATGTTAGTCTAGAACAAACTAGTCTAAAAAACTTGTTTTTTTTATTGTTAGTGTAAAATATTTTCCTAATGCATTAAATTGTATATGAATGTACCTCTAGAGGAGAGACACCAAAATCAAATTTTAGTCTATTTAAGACAAAAAAATAATAATAATTTTATAAGTAAGAAGTCTGCCACTGATAATAAAAAATACTTTATAAATAATAACTATGTTGTATGCCATTCAGTTTCAAAACAACATTTTAATGTTTAATTGAAAACTTAGTTTTTTGCTTATTTGTGCATGATTATTTTTTACCAAATATTTTTTAAATTTAAACAACAATTATGAAAAAACCAGAATACACAACAATCTAAAAATAAATTTGGACCATTATGATCACATTAAAAATTTTTTTTTTACAAAATATTGAGATTTACCTTGCGCTCAAAGCCAAACAATTTGGGGCATATTTTAGGATATTTTGCCGCTTGAGTACAAGATAAATGTCATTATTTTGTGAATTTTTTGTGATTGTATTTTTTTAATATTTGTTCCAAATTTGGCTTCCTATATATACACAGAAAAAAATATATATATAATAGACAAAAAAAAATCTTTCTCTTTATTTATATATATATATATATATATAAATATATACATACATATATATATATATATATATATATATATATATATATATATATATATATATATATATATATATATATATATATATATATATATATAAATATATAAATATATAAATATATATATATATTAATATATTAATAATAATAATAATAATATATACATATATATATATATATATATATATATATATATATATAAATATATATATATATATATATATATATATATATATATATATATATATATATATATATATATATATATATATATACACACACACACACACACAAACTCACACCAGAATAATTCTTTTATTTTTTCCTTTGATAATTAAATCAAGAAAAAATTATTTTAATTCCTTTTTCATTTCCTAATTCGTCATTTCATTAACTTTTTATTGTTTACCACACATTAACTTTTTATTGTTTTAGACAAAAGGTTTTTATTTTAGTAGAAAACCTTTTATAATATGTGATATATTACTTAATAATATATTACTTATTTTTGAAAATATTACAATTAGTTTTACAAAACATTAATTTAAAAACTTATATAAATATTATAGAAAAAAAAAACACTTGCACAAAAAAAAAAATAATAATAATAATAATTTTGTATGTATGATAAATTATGTTTTATAAATTTAATACATTTAACAAATAAACTTCATTAAAGAAAAATAACAAAGAAATCAAAGTTTCTAAAAATGATTTTTCATGAAATAGTTGCATCAATTAAAATTTACATTAAAATACATAAGATACAATAAAATTTTTGAAAAATTAAAAAACTATGCAAAATATAAATTATAATATTCTAAAAAGTTAAAAACAACTTTACCAATATTAATGCTGTTTCTCCACTAGGTGTTTGAATATTCATTTTAGCACCATTTTGAATAAGCATGACAACCAAACTTCTTTGTTGCTAAAAAGTTTTATATATATATATATATATATATATATATATATATATATATATATATATATATATATATATATATATATATATATATATATATATATATATATATATATATATATATATATATATATATATATATATATATATATACAGTGGGCAAAATAATTGTCTGTACATTAATGAAAAGTATCTATATTTGATCAAAACAATATTTAAAAGTATTTAGATAGTTGTAATTAAGAGTTTTTAAAGAATTATTTTAATATTAAAGTAATTTTAAGTGTATTAGTTAAAAATATATTAATATATGAAAAGTTATATAAGTTTATTTGAAAAGAGTTAAAATTTTAAACAAAAAAATTGTCTGTACACTATGTTAATTTTTTCAATTAAAATTAGTTAAAATTAAATTAATATCTTGTTGGACCACCATCAGCTTCAATAACTGCTCTACAACGATTTATCATTGATGAGACGAGTTTAGATGTAATTTCTTGATTAATTGATGACCAAACATCTAAAACCAATTCTTTGAGCTCATTTTTATTCTTTGGAGCTTGATCTTTCATTCTTTTTTTCACCACCGACCATAAATGTTCTATAGGGTTCAAATCGGGCGATTGTGCAACCCAATCCAACACGTTAAAGCCATTTGCAGCAAGATATCTGGTTACAGATCCAGCTTTGTGCTTTGGATCGTTGTCATGTTGGAATATAAATTCCATTCCAAGTTCTAATTTTCCTGCCTAAGCCACCAAATTCCGTTCTAATATGGATCTATATAAGTGTTGATCCATTTTCTCATCAATAAATTCAATTTTGCCAACACCGGACACACTCATGCAGCCCCAAACCATAACATTTCCACCAACAAATTTAAATGTTGCCTTCAAACACTTCACATTATATTCTTCTGCGACTCTTCTATAAACTTTCGCACCACCATCAGCTCCATATAAATTAAATTTACTCTCGTCTGACCAAATAATCATATTCCAGAATATATCATCCTTCAGAACATGTTCCTTTGCAACCGTTTTCTCTTGTTCACTATGCTGATGAATGCAAAAACATTGGCTTCATGCAGTCTGTTCCTAATTGTTTGTGGCAATAATTTAATATTTAATTCATTTTCCAGCTCTTTTGATACTTCTACGGCATTTTTTCTTCTATTCTGCTCGATTTTCCCAACTATACACCTGTCAACTCTTGGCGTTGTTTATCTTTTTCTGCCTTGTACACCATTATTTGCCACTGATTTTGTTTTTAAATACTTTTCCGATGTATATTGAACAAAGCTTGGTGGTATTTTCAACATTTTTGCAACTTTTCTAATTGATAATCCATTTTCCCTATTAAAAATTACTCGTTTACGTAAGTCAATACTATATTCTTTTCTTTTTTCTTCCATCATAGCCACGTAGTTAAGAAAAGGTTTATTTTTATTTACTATAGTATTATTTAACCTAAAAGTACAAGATATTAATATAAAAATCATTTATAAACAAAATTTTACCTTTTAAATCAAATGCACGGACAATTCTTTGGTTTTAAAATTTTTAAAACTTTTAAATAAGTTAATTATAATTTAAATTGTCGGGAGAAAATTAAAGATGGTGTATCGTTTTTAGTTGTTGTCTTGTGCGCTATCTATTGGTTTAATTAATTTTTTTTCTATCATTTAAAGTTTTAGAGCTTTTTTAAAAAAACTTTATTTTTCATTAATGTACGGACAATTATTTTGCCCACTGTGTATATATATATATATATATATATATATATATATATATATATATATATATATATATATATATATAGCATCCTAGTCGCAACTTTAGGGGACATGTTACTTTTGTTCTGTTCTGTTTTTTATTTTTACTTTTTTATACTACTTTTATCATATTTATACACTTTTTAACTTTTTTTTTATTACTATTTTATTTATAAATATTTAAATTTATTATTTTATTATAAAAATATATTTTTTATATTAATTTTTGTTATTTTTATATATTTATATTATATTATATTTTATTTTTAACTTCATCTATTTACAAAAACGATTAATTACAATAATATAACCAAATTTAAATCTTGCCATAACCCTAACCCTAAACCTAACCTTGATGCCTGGCCTAACCAAACCCTCAGTCGATGTAGCAGCACTCCCTTGCAAGTCAGGCTATTTGATAGTCGATGTATGTACTTTTCGTTCTCTATAAAAGTTTCTTATGGGTACATTTTTTTACAAAAAAAATAATGCTTACGGGGACAAAAAATTAATGAGTAAACTAAAATGTCCCCGATAATGCTAATGTCCCCATAAGTATTCGCTTTTTTTTAAGTGATAAAATATACAAACATATATATATATATATATATATATATATATACATATATATATATATATATATATATATATATATATATATATATATATATATATATATATATATATATATATATATATATATATATATATATATATATATATATATATATGTAAATTATAATATATAAGGTTTGAAACACTTTGGCTTTTAATTCTTAAAAAAATTATTTTCTTATAACTGAATATAAAACATAGTGCAATGTTGATATATAAGCAATTTAAAATTTATGTTTAGTTAGAGCTAGATGAAATAATTGCTTCAGAATGTATATATTGTGGAGATATTATGATCAGGTAAGTGTAACTTATTTCTCTTGGACGGGATTTACATATATATATATATATATATATATATATATATATATATATATATATATATATATATATATATATATATATATATATATATATGTGTATATATGTGTGTATATATATATATATATATATATATATATATATATATATATATATATATATATATATATATATATATATATATAAATATATATATGTGTATATATATATATATGTGTATATATATATATATTATATATATATATATATATATATATATATATATATATATATATATATATATATATATATATATATACCATCTCGATATATATATATATCATCTTTTTTTATATATATATATATAAAAAAACCATCTCGAGTTTTTTCTCCACATACAGCCAGCGAAGCCTCATCAGCTGTCAACGGTGGCTCGGTTGTTTTATTTTATTTCCAGTTGATGAGTTCTATGTAACCATGTGCATCTAAGTTAAGCTTTGGTAAACTGAAAGTATGCAGTGTGTGATCTTTTTCGTGTCGCGTTTTAAGAATGCGCCTTAATCCTAAATCACGAATTTGTTGGCGTTTGTCACTAACCATTGCTAGTAAGAGATTTTCTGAATGAGCAAAATAGCCGTTACATTGTAATACAGGATCTACTATATCTCGCAGTTCCTGCGATAAGTAACGTGACTGTTAAATAAGTTTAAAAAGATGCCGCGCACAATCTTTGCATGAAGGATACATCTTAATACTAAACCAAACACGAGAATAAACTCTTACAACATAAGTTAATAAATGAATCAGATTTGTTGATGAATCCTCGCTTGCCACATACAACCGTAGAAGTCTATTTGCTGTTGTCAGCCATCGGAAGTAATTTCGGAAGTAAGTACCTCTAAAGTTTTTTTTGATAGGGGTAGTGAACACTCACCTTTGGATATTGCTTCGCATATTTCCCACATATACTTTTGATCTGTGCTCAAATCTTTAAGTTCAACTTTTGGAAGAGTTACATCAATCTTTTCAAATTCAATAACTGGTAATTTCTAGTTGATCCATCCAAATAAATTAGTAGATGTCGAAGAGGAAGTTCGTTTGCATGCAAAAGACAAACCAACCATTGCAACAGTTTGTTATATTCTTTTGCCATCAACCTTATTGCGCTACCTTTAATTCCTGTGTTTACGGCAGTTCCATCAGATCCAACAGCTACAAACTTTTTAAAGTCAATATTTTTGATAGTTATAAAGTTGACTATATAACTTTTTATAAAATATTTAATTTATAAGGGTTTAAATACTTTATAAAAATATATATATAAATATATATATTTTTATAAAGTATTTAAACCCTGGTTCTTCGATTAAAGAGATGTGCTCTTGAGTAATACTTCGTCGATAGAACTTTAACCCCTCCTTGATGTTT